CCTAACAGATTGATCGAAACCAAGAGAAAATAATTATGTCAAAAATCAAGGAAAAAGGGGTTTAATTGAGCTTAATGTCAAGTACTAGTATTTATGCTTGGATTGTTAGTAATTTCGAATGTGTTTGTACTTGGAATGATAGGCACTTTGCAAGAAATCAAAGAGAAGCACAATAATACCAAAGAGGCCGAATTGATTAAGCAATCAAGAGGTAGCATTAAACTCATAATTTGAATGCTTTCTTGCTTGTTTAAATGTGTATGTGTTATTTGATTTATATTGCCATGATGTGATTGAGCAAATTATGTGACTGTGCATGAAATTATATGTGAATATGCCTTGGCAATATGTATAAGGAATGACATAATAGCTTGATTGATTGCTCTCTTTCTATGGCAAATGATATGCACATGAAATGTTGCATAATGATGTTAATTTTATATTCACATGTCACATTTTCACATAGCATTAATTGCATGATAATTATGATTCATTGCTACTAAGATTTCTATGAAATTTCACTCCTTTATGTTTAAACTTTCACCAACTAGGAGTTAGACAAAGCAAGGACAAAGGAAAGGAGATAATTTTGGGAGATAATTAGTTGTTATGCCTCTTTAAAAAAATGATGTAGTTATTATGAATTATTGTGTATCAATGTAAACTATGTGGAGTTACTGTAATATTGACCAAAGTGACTATGCATGTGAATATATTATCAAGTGATCATGTGTGAATATGGGCTATGTGATTGAAATGGTCATATGGATTGAAAAGGGAAAGAACAACCAAGAATGGTAAATTTAAGAAGATAAAAGTTGACTTTTTAGGGGTAAAGTTTGACTAATGAAATTCTATGCAATTGGTTGAATCTTAAGCAAAACTTTGGCAAGCTTATATATCTTATTTTTAGCTTTAAAGCAAGTAGTATTTTATTAAATTTCGAGTTTTGTACAAAAAGTTATGTCCTTCCAAAATTGAGCATAAATCCTAAAAAATTGAAGGATGACCATATGAATAGTACCACTTTGCATGAAATCTGGGATTAATTGATAAGTTCTGGATGACAATGAGTATTTTTCCCTTAAAGAAGGCACCAAGAGCTTTAAGTAGAACTTGGAATGACTTTATTTTGATTTTTCTAGAATTAGTTATGAATTTTCAAAATTTGGCCTTTATTAGGGTTACAATAAATAGTAACCCGAATTTGTGAAATTTTAAGGTTTAAATTTTTCCAAATTAAGGCCATAAGAAATGATTCTAAATGGTTCCAATTGAGGTAAAATGAGGTTTAAAAATAAGGTGTGACATTAGCCCTTGATCTTTTATGTGTATGTGGCTTAATCTTAGCCATTCATGTTTTCTCCCTCTTGATTTTGTCACATAATCCTATTCTCAATAATCAGTGCCAAAGCCACCCCATATGCCACCTCAAGGGACACATAATCCTTATTTGTGATCATAAGCAATATTTTATTATATAATTCTATTTCTTCCAAACATGCCCCTTAACAATTTATATTATTTCATCCATGTCCCTTCATCATTTTGGAATTAAAATAGGGAGGAAATAGGGAGAAATTCGTGCAAAATGTAGCCCCTAACTATTCCTCTACCAATCTGGCCATTTTGCACCGTATCAGGTATTTTTTTCAAGTCCTGATTTACCTAGTAACTTTGAAAAATATTATGGCACATTTTCTCATCTCAATTAACTTCACATGGCATTGTATAACATGCCTAAAGAGGGAATAGTGTTCTTCCCTTTGTTATTTCATTAAAACATTTAATAATATTATTTTAGAGCAAATTTGACCTAATTCTTTCTATCAGTCCATAAGTCTGAGAATCTATCTCTAGGTACCGATACTACTTTTTCATTATGAAGAATTTCTCTAATTCTTCTCAAGTCAAAAGTCAAACCATAAATAGTTTATTTCACTTTTCTTGGATAGTGTATAAATATGCTTTAGCTTTTATTAAAGCCATCCTCTTTGTTTTCTGGGGACAAAATTATTTTTAAAACCTGTAATAATTCCTCAAGTATTATTCCTCATTTTTCTCTAATCATCTGAGGCCTCCTTGTATTTTAAGTAATTTAATTTTAGCTAATATTCATAATTAGCCAAAACCTTACGAATTTTATCAATTTGCTCCAGGGGTATTTGGGTTATTTTTAACCCTATATGAGCCATATAACCTTATTTCCTATTATTTTGAAATTTTTTGAGATTTTTTTAAAATGTTTGGGCATACTTTCTATTACTGCTCTTTCTGACCCGAAACTATTCAAATTTATAGTTAGGTCCCTGCTCAAGTTTAGCCTCAGGAATCATCTCACTAAGGTTCCTGGCATAACTTTTAGCCATTAATCATCTCCAATTACCATACTCGAGTCCTCGAGACTTCATCGTAGTCTCTACCTTGCCTAGTCTCATGGTTCCAAAAAGCTCTTATTTTGTAGTTTGGTCCGTGAGAATCCCCTTATCCTTCCAAAGAACTTATAGAACTCCTGCCAAGAGGGGTCTAGTAGCCTGCCCATTTTAGCCTAATTCTGGTACTTCTAGGCCCAAAATCCAGAATGTTTCAATAAGCCTATGATTCCAGTTAGCAAAATTAAGTTGGATAGAGTAATAAGGTAGGAAGCATTCATTACATGTGAACATGATATATTATGAAATTAGTTATATCATCTGTTAGTGATTAGTTAAGCTGTTGCAGTACTTATTTACATAGCTAATATGAATTACTTGTGTAATAGTTGTGTGTGTATGGTTGAACTTTGGATTATTGAGACGTTAGTGCTCGCCCAAATTATTTAATACAAATCGCATAGGGAGCAAGGGAAGGTACCAGAGGAGTGAGCTAGTGGCTTTTATACTTCTCGAGTACATATTGAGTTAATTTGATTATTTCTATTTGCTATGACCCTAGGACATTAAATCATTATTTTTGTTAATTCCTTTGTTGATGGATTTTAGCGCTCTATTTCAAGTTCTCTCCGCTACTTGTGTTAATTTGGCCTTTGAGGTTGTGGACTTGGATATTTATGCTCAAATTATATTATGGGTTTATTGCCCATATTTTTTTTGATATTATGGTTAAAAGGTTGAGTCCTTAAGTGTTGCCTTGATTATTGTGGGAACCCAAGACTAAATTGATTTTATATGTTGTTTTGAGTAGTTCATAAGACTGGTGTCCATGTGCATTAGTCAGTTATTTAGTTTAGTTATCTGTAAAGAGTTATTCTGTGTGGATTGTTTTACATGCTTGGTTTAGCTATGCATTATATTTGTACATTGAAATGTGATTTTTGCTACTAAAATTTTCTCAAATCTCATCCCTTTTCTCCCAAATACCAACAGCATGAGCCAATACATCTAAGGGCAAAGCGAAGCAAATGGAGGAATAGAAGAAGTGGTGGCTTGGTAATTGTTATTATTTTGATATTTTGTGGTTACTTTGTATGGTTAGTAGCTTAATATGCTTATGTTAATTTAATATGTATGGGCATATAATTAAACTCCATAAGGAGGAGCCGGAGAGCTTAATTAGCACCAGTCAAGATTAGTGCCATTGTAATGATCGCGGCCAAAATGCATGAAAACTTAGCTTGGTTATTACTTTTGTGACTGTTTAGAAACAAGGCAATTTTTCAATCTAGATTATGAAATTTGGTATTAAAATAGTACTCATCTTGAGTTTTAAAACGGGAAATATTTTATAATTATTGGATGTGTGGAATAAAAATATGACCTTTTAAATTTGGGTCAAATTTCTAGAAATTTCTGAAAATTCCAGCGAAAATCCCAGTGTCCTGTTTAGATTTAGGCAACCTTCTGGATCAAATGGGACTGCAGTTAACCCGGGTCTTTATTTTATAGCAAATAGTTTCTCAAGATGTCAGATTAGAGTTTTGAACCATTATTTTTTTTTAGCTATACTGAATTAGCTATGAATTTTTAATTTTTTTTTAAAAAAATCCCATTCTAATAAAAGGAATAATGCCCATCTGAAGTTAAAGTTTTTGAATTCTTAAATGGCCAAATAACTTTGCTAAGTGAACCTTAAGCAAAGCGTTACAGAATATTCCAGAATTAATTTTGCTGTATGGATCTAAATAAAATTAAAATCAACCAAATTATGGACTATATATTAAGGAGATAATATGAGTATAATAATTTTTCATTTTTATATTGAACAATAAACAAACTTTATTTCGTCATTTTAAAAAAACCTCTTTTATTTCGTCTTTTGTAGAAATCCACATGCCACTTAGTCATCATCCACATTATCCCTTAATTAAAAATGAGTGTAGGGACAAATAGCTCACAGTTACAAAATTTAAAAAAGTTACAGAAACTTGATTAAAAAAATGAAATGAAATGAATTAATTAATTAAATTTTTATCTAAAATTTATATTTCACATTTTATGTTACAATAGTAGTCAAAACATACATACAGGAAATTAATGAATTGAATTTTTTTTACAAAGAAAAATATTCGAAAGATAAGAAAACGGAGGAATAGAGTAAGACCACATCTTAATAACAAAACAATTTGACTTGACGTTTATTTGTTTGTTATGAATTTGAGGTTCTAAGGAACTTATAGTCAAAGTTCGGATCTGGTTACTTTTGAACATGCCATTTGGCTTATATTCATTTTCATCAAGCTGGTAAAATTTAGAACGGTCAAAAAGGAGATGGTGAAACTGGCGACTAGGAATGAGTGGTTTTGAACACAACGATTGCCAGATAGACATGCACCTATTTTGAAAAGGTTTACTAAGTTTAGGGATAAACCTATATGTGGATTCTTTAAAAATGCTTACTACACAACAAAAATAATAATTGAACAAACTATATATACAAGTTACGCGTCGGCGAATTGAGACAAGGGGAAGAACTTTCTTCCGCTTCATAGAAAGAATTAATATAAAGTGGGAGAGAGTAATAGATAAGGGTTGATTCTTTTTGGGAGGAGACAACATTTGAGCATGGGTCATGGAAAGATGTTCTTGTTTCTGATATGCCTCCTGGCAGGGACAATGTCTACTGTGATGGGTGAAGACCCTTATGTATTCTACACATGGAATGTAACATATGGGACATTATCTCCTCTTGGAGTTCCACAACAAGTAATTCTCATTAATGGCCAATTTCCTGGGCCACAAATTAACTGCTCATCCAACAATAACATCGTTGTGAATGTGTTTAACAAGCTTGATGAGCCTTTGCTTTTCACCTGGAGTGGGGTCCAACATAGGAAGAATTCATGGATGGATGGTACATTAGGAGCCCAATGCCCTATCCCTCCAGGAACCAACTTCACCTATCGTTTCCAAATTAAAGATCAAATCGGAACGTTCTTCTATTATCCCACCACATCCATGCATAGGGCTGTAGGTGGTTATGGTATCATTCGTGTGTTTAGTCGTCTATTGATTCCAGTTCCATACCCAGATCCTGAGGATGAGTTCAATGTTCTCATTGGTGATTGGTACACTAAGAAGCACGCCACACTTCTAAAGCTCTTGGATAGTGGGCGATCTATTGGCAGGCCTGCCGGTGTGATCATCAACGGCAAAACGGCGAAGGGTGATGGAAGCGACGAGCCACTTTTCACCATGAAGCCTGGTAAGACATACAAATATAGAATTTGCAATGCTGGGAGTAAGAATTCTCTAAACTTCAGGATCCAAGGCCATGGCATGAAGCTCGTTGAGACAGAGGGATCTCATGTTGTTCAGAACATTTATAACTCTCTTGATGTACATGTCGGCCAATGCTTTACCGTTCTTGTCACTGCCGATCAAGCGCCTAAGGATTACTACCTTGTGGCTTCCACTCGCTTTACTAAGACTATTCTTACTGGTAAAGGAATTGTTCGCTATGAAAATGGCAAAGGATCTGCCTCACCAGAGATCCCCGAGGCACCTGTTGGCATTGCTTGGTCTATTAACCAATTCCGTTCTTTCCGTTGGAACCTTACTGCGAGTGCGGCTAGGCCTAATCCTCAAGGGTCTTACAAATACGGTCAAATCGAAATCACTCGTACTATCATATTGGTAGGATCAAGCAGTAAGGTTCAAGGCAAAAATCGATATGCCCTTAATGGGGTTTCGCATATTGATGGTGACACCCCTTTCAAGTTAGCTGAATACTTTGGAGTTGCCAACAAAGTCTTCAAGTATAACATCATCTCTGATGAACCACCAGCCAATTTGGATAGCCTTACCATCCAACCCAATGTCATAAATATCACATACCGTACCTTCGTTGAGATTATCATTGAAAACCACGGAAAGAGCATGCAATCTTATAACTTGGACGGATATTCTTTCTTCGCTGTGGCGTTAGTATTCCATTTTTTTTCATTTTGCATATATATATATATATATATATATATATTCTACCCTTTTTGCATTAATTACATGTTTGTAGAAGTTGACTGATTAATTTGCTTGTGTGATGATGCAGCACCGAGCCTGGGAGATGGGCCCCAGAGAAGAGGAAGAACTATAACCTCCTCGATGCTGTGAGCAGGCACACCATCCAAGTCTTCCCAAATTGTTGGGCAGCCATAATGCTCACATTTGATAATTGTGGAATGTGGAACTTGAGGTCAGAGTTAGCTGAGAACCACTATTTGGGCCAACAACTCTATGTTAGCGTTTTGTCCCCAGAGCGATCTCTCAGAGATGAATACAACCTTCAAAACGCAACTATGCTTTGTGGCATAGTTAAGGATATGCCCATGCCTCCACCATATAACTCCTAATTACAACTTTCCTTATCATTATTGTTTCTCTTGTGCCATCTGATTGACTTTTGAGAAAGAAAGCAGGGGGAATGTTGTAATATTCTAACAATCAACCCTGAATTAATATTCGTTTATTGATTAATGCCTTTTCCATTATATAATTTGTCAAGTTACTATTCTTTTAGTTGATGGTCGACAACAGATTTTGTCCACAAAAAAAGGGGCAAATTAAAAAAAAATAGATAGGAAAAGAAAAGATAATTGTTGAAAGAAATTATGGAAAATAATAGTTACCCTTGAAAAACCTCTATTAGAAGAGTGTCTCTTCATTCTTTTTCACTAGTAAATTTGCTTTGTAAAATTCATGGAGACAATTATGATTTCATTGTGTATGGTTTATCGACTTATTTCAGCAGAATTCTTGGTAAACTCTGAATCCTTCATTGATATGATTGATTTGTCTTGTGAGTAATTGTTTCTCTCTATTCTATTACTGAGATTTGAATTGCTTCTAATTCAAACATGCAGTTCAACTTTTATACATTAGAACAAAACTGTTGTAGCATACCTCTGTCTGCTCTAAGTTATATTTTGTTTTTCACATGATCTTTGTGTTGTATATATTTTAATTATTAGAAATCAAACTTTAAATTAATGAAGTTTTTGAATTCAAGATGAAAGGAAAAGAAACTCCATGGACAACACAACTGTTATGGAAATTTTAGTTTTTTTACTTGGGTAATTTGAAATCTACATTTTTTGGGCAAAAAGATAGGGAGCATTATTGTGTGTCACTACAAAAAAACCATGTGATTGGCAACGAAATTTTTATTTAGCGATGGAATTGGTGACAGAATCGCATTAGTGACAGAATGTATTCCGTTGCTAATTCTTCTATCACTAATTGGATTAGCGATGGATTAGTGATGGGATTTTTCTGTCGCTAATTATTGACAGAAATTTTTCGTCGCTAATCTGTCACTAATTAGTGACAAAAAATTTTTGTCACAAATTTTTCATCGCTAACCCAATTTTTTAAAAATATTTTAAATGCCACGTGATTCCTCCACCAGTCCCCACCTCCATGTGTTGCTGCCACCTCACCTCCCCCACCATGTGTCACTGCCATCTCACCTCCACTTGCCACATGTCACCATTACATAATTCCTCCTTAAAGTGACTTCTCTACGACTTAGACCTCATCTATGCACGCGCGCGGCTTTACCTGTTGAGTTGTAATGAACCTACTAACTTATTATGAAAAATTAAATATATATAATACTCTTTTACACAAACAATTATATATACATATACACATATTATTAAAAACTAAAAATAAACTATATGGTAATTTTAACCATAACATTTTTATAACAAAAAAATTTTTAAATATTTGTTTTACTATTTATTTTACAATTTTTTATTTTTTAAAAAATATTTTTAATATAATATTAATTTTCAATGACACTAATTTTGAATTTTAAATCATAAATAATTTTTTTCATAAATATATTTTTAAAATTTAAATTTTTAATTAACATTGATAAGATATATAATTTAATTATATATGTATTATATTATATTATGTTATATTATCTATATGTGTTTTATATATTTGATGAAAACTATTTATAATTAGTAAAAACAAGCCACATTATTGAAAAAATAGCTACCATAATAAAATTTAATAAATTATTCTATGTAAAAAAAATGATTTGAATAGATTATGATAAACGACATTCTCCTACTTATATAAGTATCCTATAAAATTTATTTTCTGAAAATCCTTTGTATGTACCATTTGTTTTTGAAACAACTTTCCTAAATAAACTAATAAGCTTACTTTTTTTTAAGACTAACTTTCAAAATCGAAACCATGCTAGCAACATACTCAAATTTATCATGGTCATATAAACCAGCTCACTATGTAATAATGTTATTCATGATAGAAAAAATTAGAACCTAACCATATACACGGTCATGGATGAAAGAACTTTTCTTGACTCATTCATATGCTAACCATGTTAGAAAGGATCAATTTCATCTAACATAGTTATAAGATAACATATTACATAGCTCCTAAACTAAAATAGTAAGAATTAAGTCTCATCCATATCTTATAATATCACATGCAATCCTAGGCCTTTAGCCAATTATCAGCATGTATGCCACAACAGAAAAAATATAAGAATACAAAAACACGATAATACACGAATCAATTAAATACAATTTGTCCTAAGGTGGCAATATACAAAAAATAACAACTCATAAATTGAGAAGGTGCTATAGGTTGCTAATTTAGCTTTACTCCTCCTAAGCCTTCCTTGATGTTCCTCTTCTAAAGCTTTCACCTAGAAAATATTAAACAATAAGGGTGAGATAATGTCTCAAAAACTAAATCCCTACCTATCACACATACAAGCATGGGCTAGTGAGGTGTTAGGTGAGATATATAGAGTTAATAAATCAATAAATATTTATTTAACAGTTATACTCAATGACTATATAAGTTAAATATTTCGGCCAACCTCATGCAATTGATAATATCATAACAGACAATGTACTTTTCAGTAATTTGAAGTATACATAAATATCAATGAAGATTTCATATCATATGCAATGCCTAAACCCAAATCCACCCTCATATCCTTCTTATTTCCACCGACTGAACCCATGGGCTAAATTCTTTCTATTAGACTGGCTACTCACGAGTGATGTGAGTTGGTCAAAGACCACATAGCACTTAGTAGACTATGGGTCCCCCCTCGAAAAACTAGCAGGGTGTCGTAGTCCTTGGAAGAATAGGTTGGACAACAATAGTAGCCAACTATAGAGCTTAATATGAAAGCCAATACCACATGGCAAGTATACCGATCAAGTTAACTCCAATCATCTCCTCCACAACCCATCCCAAATGTACTTGATTCAAAATATTCAAGTAGATATACACATATTCAGGAACATTACTCATCAAAATTTTAACTCAAGTATCATATTCCAAAGCCAAACTCACTCTATTCAGTCACCTTCAAAACAGTATCCCACAAGACAGTTTATGCAAATAAAAATTTCATATAAAAGAATTTAGTTATAAAAACCCTCACCAACTTATATCTGAACACGCAATTGATCAAAATTCAGTTACCTAGTCTCCTAGCTAACAAACAAATATAAACGAGGCCCAAGCTCAAAAATGCCACAATATGACTTATATCTACAAATGAAATTAAAAAATTATCTCTATAGTATTAGAGTAAACTACTCACAAAGTTCTACTCTCTAACTCCCCCTCTAAGACTTTCAACTATTACTCAAAATTCTAGCTTGAAAGGATTTTTCTAAGGTTTGGAGTAGGAACATATCTATATATATATATATATATATGAGGATTTAGATTCAATTCCTAAGTTTCTTTAACTTAGATAATACTTTGATAGCCAAAGGTTTGAAAAATTGGACTTTGAAAAATCTTGCTCATGGGTTATTATTCATAGCAACCCATAAATTAGACAAACTTTGAAAATTCATAATTAATTTATAAAACATCAAAATTAAGTGATTCCAAGTTCAATTGGAAGCTCTTTGGAATATATTTTGAGAAAAAATAAGTTCTAGATGAATTCTCTTTAAATTCGAGCCTAGTTTTATTTCCAAAAAGTACTGTTCATTTGGTCATTTTTAAATTTTTCACTATTTTTGCCTAAATTTGGATAGGCATATCTTCTTGCACAATTATTCGTTTGAGGCATATTACCATTCATTTTAAAGAGAAAAATAAGATCTATTGATCTGAAAAGTTTCATGAATTAACTTACACGATTACTCAGATCCACGTCAGTCAAAACTTTGTTCCAAATGGTTGACTTGTATCCCTAACTACTTATCCTTTGCATAATGAAGCTCTAACTTCTTATACCATTCAATCAACCACACAAATGATTTTCACAGCATACTTTACCATATAATCAGATAAAGTTGTAACATAAGTCATCCACAAAATATTGATTTACATTTATCCGCATAAATACATGAAATGGCTAAACCATAAAGTGTCATTGTAAATATAATTTCTTCATGCAATAGCCACCTCCTTACCCTTTCCTTGTGATGAAGAAGGCCCTAAGTTGTTGTTAAACCTGGGCTAAGATTCATAGGAATCATAGTAGCATAGCATCTGATCCATAATGTCACACAAGCAAAGGATTTTATGCCAAATGGATTTGCTAATATCTACTTTCACTTAATGCACATGCCATGGAAAGGACCTAACATACTTCTCATTCATAACACTCAATATATCATAAGCCAAGGCATTATATGCATAGAGTTATATATCACATAACACCCTCACCATTGGTCTTCTCTTAGTATAAAAAAATTCCATGATTTTTCTTAGAATTTAATTCCCACAGGAATTCTCTAAATTTTTTTTTTCCAAAATCAGCCCTCTACCTATGATAATTATGCTTTAAATATTATTAAAGCCAATCAATCAAAGTTGGGATAATTTTATAAATTATTATAATTATAATCCTCCAAGGTATTTTTCATATTTTTTCTAGAATTTTGAGGTCTCCAAATATTTTTTATAATTAACTTTTGGTTACTCTTACTTGGTGTAACCAAAAATTCCTATAGATAAAGAAAATTTTATATTTATTTATTTTCCTTCCAATAATTCCTTGACCCTTATTTCTATTTTTCATGATTTTCTGGGAATTTTTGAGAATTTCTAACTTGAATTCCCAATTAAATCTTTCTTTGACTGATATTTCAAATATCAGTCCATCCACTATCTGAATTTTAAATTCAACCTTATACTAACTATGTTTCCCTCCACCTTAATTAGCCCTTGATCTATTTAATACCCTTATTTTCAGGGTTAAGATTTCCAGGATGTTACATTTCCTCCTCCCTTAAATAAATTTCTTCCTCAAAATTTAACACCTACTTTATGTAAAGAGCACTAAATACTTGCTCCTCATCTCATCTTCCTTCTCCCATGTGGCCTCCTCCAA